TAAATTGGCCACAACCAGGTGGTGATCTGAAGCTATATCCGCTCCTCTCCTGGTTCTCACATCTTCCATTGTCCTTCGGAACATTTTATTGATGCAAATATGATCTATCTGGTTCTCTATGGTGTGGTCCGGTGAGATCCGTGTAGCTTTGTGTATACGTTTGTGTGGAAATATTGTGCCGCCTATGACCAATTTGTTGAATGCACACAGATTTACAAATCTTTCCCCATTTCCGTTTCTCTCTCCCAGTCCATGTCGTCCCATGATATCTTCATATCCAGTGTTGTCTGTTCCAACTTTGGCGTTTAGATCTCCCATCAGAATGGTGAGGTCCTTTCTTGGGCACTTCTCTATGATTGATTGCAGCCTCTCATAGAATTGATCTTCAATGTCGTCGTTGCTATCATTAGTGGGTGCATAACATTGGATAACATTCATTGTAATTCCCTCCTTCTTTGTTTTGAATGATGCTTTGATGATTCTGGATCCGTGAGATACCTATCCTACAAGTGCATTTCGTGCTACTTTGGACAGCATTAGAGCAACTCCTTAAGTGTGTGGAGCATTTTCCTCTTCGTGACCGGAGTATAGCAGCATCTCTCCGGTATTTAGCCTTTGTTGTCCAGCTTGGGTCCAATGGGTCTCACTGATTCCCAGTACTCCCAAGTTGTATCTCCTCATTTCTGTTGCTATTTGACTGGTCTTGCCGGTCTCCAAAAAGTCTTCAAAAAATCGAACACCTTTTCTTTCAGATAAATAAGTATACCGTTAGTTGTCTAGCTTCCTGTGTTTAGCTCAACAAATTTGAACAATAGCGAAGGTTGTAGAACAGGTGTGGTACGCTCTACTAATGCTGATAGACATAAGTGGCAGAAGACTGAGATAAAGAGAAGAGGAAGGAAAACATAGATCGATCGAAATAAAAATAGGATTAGGAGAGTGATGAAGTATGTAAAGGACAACTCAAAGAAAATGTGCAGACGATGCATCTTCATATTTTACAAAGGCACTGTGTAATTTCGCATTAAACTATAAACTGGTCCACCGCACCTGAGTATTCATTCAGTCCACAGGATCCAATTATTATTTATTATTTACTCACGTAAACATTAATATAAGGGGGCAACATAATATATAAGCGCCACACAATAAAAATAAGGTTAAGAAGAATGGAAGATGAGTATAATAAAAAAGGAGCAGAAATGAACAGAAATTAGTGTACGAGAGTGAAATGATAATAATGGAAGGAATTCAGTTAAGAAGAATACAACCAGAAAGGATTCCTTCAGTAAAAGGAGTTTTTTCATTTATGTAAAAAAAGTGAAAGTTACATTAGGATCACCACTGGCTTCTATTCTGAACCATGTCTGATAACGTCTCAAGTAATTATGATCCACTATCTTCAGGACCCCAACCAGGGAGTTGTGAGAGGTTGATAGTTTCCCTTCATACACTGACCACCTCTCCACATTTCTCAACCAGTCCTGACATTGGTAAATAATGCACGATGTGGAATTCTCTGGGACGACATTCATGGCACATATTCAAGCTACCGAAGCCAATGTTTTCAGATGGCGATACCAATTGAATTGTCATCACTGTGTCCGAATAAGCGTTGCTACACCTCTACATTGCCAGTGGAGGTCAGCAATTCTTAGAAGATAGCGACGCTCAAACATCGAGAGACATTTAACATCCTCAACCAAAGAAGGCCAGGTTTCACGAGTATAAAGCAGAACTGCTAATATCATGAAGGTGCGAATGATAGCCTAAATCGGCATAAGACGCTCTGGCTTTTATTATACGTTAATTGGTCTCATCACTCACGCCACCACCAACACTTACCAGACTGACCAGATACATGGACTTTCCGACTACTCCTATCTGCTCACTACCAAGAATGAGTGCAGGTTTACGGTCTTGACAGTCTTATATAGGTACATAGCACTCAGAAGGTGCAAAACACATGTCATACATACAGACATTGATAGCCAATTGATTACGTGCTGATTGCATGGCTTGGATATCCGCATACTCAAGATCGAGGATTCTTTCTCCAAGTAACAGATTCACACCATCATTACCTACATCCATCACAGCTGTTTACAGAACGTCATCGATAGCAAAGTTGGAGAGGAGTGGTGAAATCGGGCAACCCTGCCCCACTCATCCTTAACCACATCTGGGCTGCAATCTGTCGGAACATAGATGATGAAAAGACATCATATCTCACACCGATTTCTTTGCATTTTGATGGAACTTTCTAATCTAACAGCATATAACCGATCCAATCGATCAGTGCTGTCTCAGTTCTAGAGCTTAGTGCGACATCAATGCCGGAAAAACCAAACGAAGATGGCACATAGTCCCCAGATAAACGCATGCAAAACAATTTTTCGAAGCGACAGATGGAGAGCAAATTTGTAGTACTTCACCAGAGCCTTGAATAAGGGTCTCAGATAGACAAAAGATATCGATATTAAAACTTTCTAAAGACATAGTCAAGCCTATCTGGTCAGCATTAGTGTGGGGACGTTGAAGGAGGTCAGTTTGGGTAATAAACGTGGTTTCAGAAAGACTGTTTTGGTATTCATAGTTAGTGGTAGCATTCAACTGACATGCAAAATGAGAATTAAAGTATGAATAGTTTTTCTAGTTGTTGTCACTGAATTTATGTGTGGTCTGGGATATTCCCCGGGTGCTCAAAGCGAAGCAGATGTTTTTCTTAGAAGAACGGTTCCTTAACTTTTGACCTAGAGATCTAATCCACAAGGCAGATGCAACGTTAGGAGATGCAGTCTTATGGTGACCAAGAACAGATTCATACTCCATTTGCTCCTTCAGGATCCTGGAGTCCATATGAACCACTGGTTTGGAATCACGGCTTTTCGATTCCCCCAGGTATATCCCCTGTACTCACCAACAAGGTTAAAGTGCCGGACATTCGCTTTCTGTCCTTTCAATTACGAAAACAACAACCTTGACATGAAAATGCAGTGAGTAGGACTTCCCTGACAGTGACTTATACGAAAGGACATGTGTAAGCATTTCGAGAGGGAGAGCGGACTGTCCCCACCTTCGGCCGTACCAGGGCATTTGCGGGAGAACTGATAGCCAGGACGGCCGCAGGTTCAAAAGCAGGATTGTAGTCTAAAAAGTGAACCAAGTCCTCTTCTATAAAATGAACAGTATATTGTAATGTAAGCCAATTGCAGCATGTTTGTAATGAAATTAGTAGGGATGGTCCTTTAGTGAATGCTGAAGAACGAATATTTGCAGACTTCCTATTATCTTAAGAAAAAGGTTTCTGATGTGATTATATGATCAGGAGATTTCTTTGGCATGCAACTCACTTTAATTTTCTTCTACGTATTCGATATTAACAAAGGATTTATGAAAGGTGCTTTTAATATATGACATAGTTCTCTTATAAAAAATAGATTAAACTCAATCTCTCAAATATTTAATTATTCGCCAGAATATTGGTTATATAAATTATGACAATAATGTATTGTCACTACACGTTTTCAAGATTCCTGTCAAGGTTATTTCAGGAATACCAATAAGTAAAGTGGATTAATTAACTGAATCTACCGAGTTAGACCGACATGAAATCATATGTACACAATCATACGTATTTATAATAGTAGAAAGATCCTGACGAAAACCATGAAACTATGTGATAGAAAATTACTGCTATAGAATTTATGTAATCCAGATTCATGTAGTTTAAATGCAATACAATTAGGATACATGTTTAATGATAAGAGATATTTAAGATAATGAACATTCTATAAGAGATCTGCAGTTATAATTATGTATGTTAAGAACAAACATATGCTGAAATTTCATTCATTTTAGTGCTAGTTCTCTGGTTACTCAATGAATTGCCATCATACTAAAGTATAGCCATAATAACAGCTTAATCACTTACAAAATACCTTGGGTAGTAAAATCATCACAGCTCCGAGAAAACAGATGAATTAATCCACTTTTGAACAGCAATTTTTATTTCATAAAAACACGCTGATTCGCCTTTTTCGATTTTTATTTACATTAAGGTATCGTTAAATGTTACTACGGTCACTATACTATGGAAATAAATGATCTTTATCTCTAAATTTCAACGGATATTTATTGGAAAGCAAAAGTTGAAAATGGTTTCTGATTGCTGAATGTTGATTTCCAATGAGATTTTAGCAAAAGCAAAAAAATTCACATAAATAGTTTAAAAAAAAGTGTAAAAAGTGCAAGCACAATTTCCACTCCCTCAGTAGTAGCATGAATTAAAATAAATTATTGAATGTGCAAATACAACTAGGAATGAATTGTTGCGTCAATAATAGTGAATAGTTTTTATGTTGTAAAGTTAATCCTGAAACATATTAATACGGGGCGGATAACCTCATTCAGCTTTCCTCTCAAATCAAAGTAAATGATTACATGAAAAAGTTGTATGCGTAAGGTCATTTACATGGAGATCAGATGAATTTTTATAAGGAATCATTGGATTGAGAAGAGGAAAAAGAAAATAATCAATTTGTCAACGAATTACGATACGTACATCAAAAAGAGGAAATAATATCCTAATAACAACAATGATAATTTAAAGTAATATTAGGTCACGGAAACAAAAACAAGAAGTAATTCATTTCTATCAGCATAAACGTAAACGAATGGTACACAGATTCATAAAACATTGGAAGATTTTACATTCAATTTCTCTATCGTTTTCTGCAGTAATGACAAGTGTAAATGTAAAAATGGTTTACAGTAAAAACAAGCTAAAATCAATAGGCGCATCAGTGTGTGCAAAGATAGCTTGTACATCGAACATTTATTCTTAAGAAGTCCATTTTTGGGACTAAACACAAGTCATAAAAATGCGAAGTTATTTTCAATGTTTTAAGTGAGAATTAAATTGATAGATTTTAAGACTTTTTCTGGAATATTCAATCAGATAATAATCTACGTTTTGCTTTTCCTATTTTTTAAAAACATTATTTTGAGGGCGGTAAATGTCCAAAGTTAATAATCAATTGTTCAAGGAATACAAACGTTAATACAGTATGTGGTGCTAAACGGATGAATGCTGGAATTAGACCTTTAAAAAAAGATAATGGACCAGTAACTGCAAGATCTACAGCACAGCTCATCAGATCCTGAAACATAAGAATAAAAATAAAGGCGATATTTCAATCGATTATCTGAAGTAGATCTATAAGATTTAAAACAGTAAGTGCAAGAAATGTACTCATAAAACGGATGTAGTCTCATTGGTTTATATATAATTTATTTATTTATACAACACTGTCAATGTGTCAGCGTACAATTCTGCTTCATTGTTAGTAGAACAGAGGTTCAGCAACGCGTACTTAGGCTGAGCGTAGATGCCACTAAACTAGAGCATCAGCCTAGACATATCTTGAGTCGCCGAAACTCACAAACCTGTACTACTTGGAACTATGTAAAAAAAAGTGAGAAATGATCAGTTTGTAACACAAAGAATAGTTTCATTAAATTAGAATATGTTTTGCCGTAATGAATCCTTGGATGAAGTCTGAACAGTGAGTGCAACTCAGTGACATCAGATAGCGGATATATCTCAAAACAGAAGTTAGTTTCCATCTTACTGTGGTTTGCAGGAGTATTTCTTATAGATAGTAAGATGAACCTTTTAGCTGGACAAAATCCATCTTGATAGTGCTCTCAACCGAAATGTACCTTTTAATATTTACCATAATTATTAATTATCTTCTTACGTTGTCGTTTCATTGTCTGTATATCTCTTAGTGTCATATTGTACTGAGATTTGCTTGTTCTATAGATGAAAAGAAAAACAGATCCGTTTTTATTTTGATCCTAAAACAGTAAAGGTTCATACGAATAAATAAAATAAACAAGTTAGTCAAGAAATAAAAGGCTGTTACTTTTCATTCTTGACTAACACAAACCTTTATGAGCACTGATAACTGGAGAAACAAAACGGTCATCATTCTATAATGAACTAACTACACACACATACTTTAACATACCAGGTTGAAAAGTTCATTTATAGTGTCGGAATACAAGGACGGTTGATTATCAAAATGGTAAAAAACTTCAGTAAATATATAAGTTACTGGCGTATATAAACGAGGAAAGTGTGCAGAATTATACTAACTGTTTTTAATCATTCGAAAGTTAAATAAATCCTTTCTTCACAAGCACATAACTTATGATCAGCCCAATATTGTAAATTTCAAACTGGAACAGGTGTGAATTATTTATAATATATAAATTCTTAAATTATACTAATATATGTATATGGAAAAGTGTTCACAAATTATTTATTACTTAAGAAAGCCATTTAAGTTAACAATCGTATGGAAAATATAAAAAAAACGAGTAATGGAACTTACGGAATACTTTCCAGGAGGAGCATTCATTAAACGAGTTTTCATTACATCAAATGGTTGGGTAATAAAAGTTGCAACCCCAGCCTACATAACAGTAGATAAGATCATATTGACAGAGTTTGGTACGATCAACTGTTGAAAAAAGCACTACTTATTTTTATTAACATATAACTTAACAACAGTTTTCAGATTTATAAACTAGGTTATGCAGTAAACCTATTATATGAAATCTTGTAATATTCGAATTATTGTGAAACAGACAAATTTGAACTCGTTGGTAAGTGATAGAAAATTAGATGCATAATTCAATAAACTACAACTGTATATAAATGTTTACACTATTACAAAATATCAACTACTTTACATTTAGACTATAACGATTTCAAAATGATTGTCGTTACACAATTTAAAGCATTGGTAGACGTCTGATGTTACACTGGGATCTCGCGGTAAACAAAATGTCGATCTGTCTTGAAATCCAGTGTAGCAGACTTTCTTAGTGAATTTCACACGATCACAGAAAATAAGCACTTAGAGAACCCAATTGATATGGCTGAGAATAGATCACAATGGCGCCGATGTATTCACAATTTATCCTTCATTTTTTAAATCCTGAACATTTAAAAAACTTTGACGGTTCTAGGTTCTATGTTTGATAAGATAAACGGTGTATATTCCTGAGTAAAAAATAAAAAAACAATACAACAACTTAGTGACTAAGTACAGCTTTGTGTACTAGGCTTTCATCCACATCTAACATTTGAAGGTAAAAGATTTTACTGCGGTATTCTAAGAACCTGTAACTTAATAACACTGATAGATAATAAACAATAAACAGATTAGGGATACTGTGAACATACAAGAAAACAGTTATGTGCAATATTTTCTTTAACACTATACTTTAGCCATATTAGTGGTAGTAAAAGTAATGGTCAGAGAGTGAGTTCATTAGGGAACAAAAACAATTGACTGAAGATGTACCTTTAACTCTACATTAAATCCCTAATTCCTACAGTATAATGATTAAGAAGGTTATGTTGATGAAAAACAAATCTCATTAAGAATAACTAATGCACTATAAGCAAAACATAAACCAGCATTTTAAATTTAGCAAGTTAACAACGGTTACTTTACTTATTTCTTTTAAATGATCTATCACTATGTAAACACTTCAAATCAACTAAAACCCATCATGATGTTGAAACGAAGCATCAAAAGATGGACAAGGATACTATTGATAAGCAAGATCTGGTCTTAATTCAATAACACCAGTTCCACTTGATCCGAAGTAGGTGGAGAAAAAAAATCAAAATATAATATAGTGATTGAAAGCTGAGTAATTAAATCTCTAAGAAATTGACCATCTATCGTTGTATAGTTGGCTATTTCGTTTAAATTCGAACTCATAAGGACTTAATGGAAATAACTGAATAGTAGTTTAATAGTTTTTTTAATGAAGAAGTAGTTATTTACTGCATAATAACAGAACAATAATAATAAATACAACAAATTTGGTAGGCAGATACAGTTGTAATCTGAACAACCGGTTATGAGACACAGGTTGATATGAACTTCAGCTACTTGTTGGCCTTCATCAAATCAGAAATTATTAATTACAGACTGATACACGATCTTGTAAGACTGTCACTATCTGTTGCAACTGTGTACAATACTTGTTTTCTGATCCAAATTTAAAAAGTACTTAATGTTTACGATAACAAACATACATCAATTAATATTTACCAAAATAAATATTTCTTTTAAATGATTAACATGAATACATTTTAAAGAATTACTTACTGCACTAGAACTCGCAATCATATGAGTTAAAGGTTTATCTTCAAATCCACCAGAGTTAATAAGCAAGATTTTAAATTTATCATAAAAAGCTAATTGTCCCAATGTCATAAATGCGGCTCGAGAAGCAGTCATACTGACTCCATTGAATAATTTTATTACACCTTCATGACGAACTACATGAATTAATCCATCGATACAATTTTTGTAGCTATCATATAATATAAATGGTTTTTTAATTAAATAGGAAGTGTATGAATCATTTGTAAGCTATTAGTAGTAATAACAATAAGTTAATAAATATTTAAGCTATATGTTTTACAAATGTCATGGGTAAGAGTGAAACTTGTGCAGTAATTTGAGACTGAAATACAGAAAATTCCAACCATCAACTTAAGTCTGTGTAGTATAATCAACACTCATAAAAAAGTAGAATGTCAAGCCGAGTATACCAAGTTTACTCAGTTGTAGAGTTCTTGATTTTCAATTCTGTTTGAAACATGAAGTGAATTTGCATTAAACAATACGAATGCATCTAAAAAGTCCAAGCGATTTCGACCTAAGCGTTTCATTGGGTTGAAGAAGCCATGAGTTACACGGGCAACATGTTTATATTAAATTTTAATCGTTTAAAGATTCCCATCATATTAAAAGGCTAATATTTAAACGAGGAATATTCTTTTCGAAAAATTCTCTTCAGGTTCTACAATTATATATCCAAATAATTAATCCGAAAACTGGCCAGGTTAAAAGGCAAAGTGCATCGTTTGAAGCATGTGAATTTAGGATTGTCAAACAAAATAGAATAAAATAAAATTGGTAATGTTGATATGACTCATATAGAATGTTGTCATTCTAGGTAATTTATCTTTTAGCCTCGGTGTCACCATTGGGCACGTAGAAAACACTAATCGTAGCTTCCGGCGTTGAAAGATTTTTTGTATTGTCCTGCGTAATCTCTGGGTTAATATTTCGCTAACCTCATCCCACCTGAATTGTAGGCGCATGAACAGGAATTTCTTGTTCACCGTTTGTATTTCGCCTATTCTCACCTTCATGATCATATATTTAGTTATAAACTTTCTAGAGTATCCGCTCCTCCTAAGAGTATTACGCAAGATTTTCAACTTTTCTTCAGCCATATCCGTAGAACATGTAGCGAATATTCGATAACTAAGAGTTTTGATCAGGTTTTGTTCGTAATGTAGAGAGGTACAAGGCCAAGGATGCACTTCATTAAACTGCCTAATAACCTCATGCTGTGACGTGTTATCTTTACAGAGGATGAACGTGTCATCCATATATTGGCTCTTTTGGTGCAAACTGGTCATAGTGCCAGTATAAACCAATCCTTTTCAATCATTTATCGGGTCAGTAATTTTTTGCCTAAGCTTGTCAGACTTAAAGTCCTTCAAATGGCTGAAGCAGAAGCCATTCGGATGAAGAAACCGGAGCTATGCATGCAAAAGAATTATATTCATGCGTTTCTCCTTTCCTGGCCAACCTCAAAGGCCAATTAATCAATAGTAATCTTAACTACTGAATGACCTTTCGTAGTCAATTGTAATTGTCTCTGTTATCTTTATTCACAAATCTTTGTATTATTATTTAAATTATTATCATTATTGTTATTACTAACAGTTAAACATCATTATTACTCTTCCCAATACATGGTTAATTCACTTCGCATTCATCCCACCTTATTATGTCTTACTAATTTTTCACAATATAGTGTTCCAATAAACATTTGATTGAATTGTAATTGCACTAATATATCTCTCACCCTATCTGACCCATACTTATTCTGACCATAGATCCCAAGATTTTCACTCAACATATAAGCTGATTCAAGTTAGCATTTTATATGAGTCATATCAACATAACCAATTTTATTTTATTCTATTTTGTTTGACAATCCTTAATTCACATGCTTCAAACGATGCACTTTGCCTTTTAACCTGGCCAGTTTTCGGATTAATAATTTGGATACATAATTGTAGAACCTGAAGAGAATTTTTCGAAAAGAATATTCTTTTTTCAAACATTAGTCTTTCATATTACATTTTTGTGTTTGTTATTTGCTTACCCATGAACAAGTTCAGTTCAATTCTGCAGATTTGGATATATAGGAAAAAAATAATTCATAAAATGAGAGAGGTTACGTAACTTCTGCAGATAAAACACCAGGACTTAGACAGAACTCTGTATGTATTACTACTCTATGGAGACAAAATAATATAAACTGACCGTATGAATAGATAACTAGGCCTAGAAACATATCGGGGATGATAGAAATACTGGTTGAAACATAGCTAATGAAAACAAATGAAATACATGGACGATGCACTACACTATAATGTTGTAAACACATATAGAGTATAATTATTAAAAGGATATCTTGGTTACCATGTAGCGACTAACTAGGATATATCACTTGGTTTTATGAAATATACAAGAGTAACCATTTAAGTTCTTATATGATGTATAACATAGTTTAGCACCATAAATTCATCTATACTCCACCAACAGTAATAGAACTCTCCATTTGTAGCTTAAAAACATTCAGTAGGTTTTAATAAGAAATATCAAGTGAAATTTGGGACTAGATCAAATATTCATCTGTTTAAATCACATATAAGTGATGGTAAGAGATAAAAGTAAGTGAAAATGTCGAGGAACAAATGAACAAATATACTTCCGTAAACGCGTACGTCTATTTATACACTAGATTATGATGTATATAGATAGTAGAGCAAGTAAGCTAATGACTCTACAAGATAATCGAAATGTCACTGGATGGAACACTTTTCGAAGCCCTGATTGATTGAGTAAAAGCAAAACGCCTAGATCTTTGAGCTATCATAAAATAAGTATGTACAAGCCACCTTACAAGTAAAATTAAAAGAAACAGTTTTTTAAACAAAACGAGTAGAAATAAATAACTCACTTTCGTCGTTCATTTATAGGAAGTTTCATATCGTTTTGCATTCTAAAAAAATAATGAAACGATCAATTTACGATCTACTATTAACAACAAAGACAAATTCAAGCCAACTAAATAAGCTTACATCAAAAATGCACGCGAAAACTTACTTTTTTTCTTAAACTACACTGAAAATCTTTTCTGAAATGTGACAGAAACACCAAGCATTAATAGAGGTAGTTCAAACAGTGTAGTTATATTTCCTTAATTTAGTTATCGTTAAAGCACACCAAAATAAATTGAAGTTTCAGTGTTCTAAGTAAATATCGACACTACGAACAACATAGACAAATCATATTTACTAGTCGTAAAAAGAAATAAACTGTGTTAATTTGTTTTTCAAGATGTTTTTTTAGATGAACAACGTCATATCGTTGTCTTCAGTGTGACGCTTCATGGAGATACTCAAATGTTTCTATAGCAAGCCATCGATTATTTGACTATCATTGCCGTTATAGAATGAAATTTAAGTAAAGTTAAGCACAAATCGGTCTTTAATAGCCAGAAATATTACATGACATAACATTACATGAAACTATTCCAAGTAATTATTGTCCCGGTGCGGTAAGACTAAGATATATCTCAAGAAAGAGGGATCGGAGAAACAAATTTATAGTGATCTAGTAGAAATATTAAAACCGGTACTGAGTAAAATAATAACTTTATACTTAACATAATTTCCAACTTTAATCGATACTTTTATCTCAGCTTGTAGCACTTTCAGTCCACAAATTTCGAAAGAATCCCTAGGCCTTGTTAGCCATATAGAGATTGAAATGAATACCATAACTATTTAATAGCAGAAGTAGGCTGTTGCATTATAATTTTGAGCTGAACTATACGTCATCAATCAGTGCATATTATGTAGATGGATTGTCACAGATTATAGATAACCGAAACTCGTTGGGGGAAGAGATTGTTATATCATTATCACTTGGTATAGAGGCCTATATAATGCAATTTAATGAATGCTTTGAGTCACAATGCAACCATGTAAGAGATGCGTTTATCCTCATCTAAGTGGAAAATAATACTTTAGGACTGGTCTGCACCAACCGCTAAACTCATGATAGAGAGTAGATTAGTCGAGGGCTCCGAGCAGTCCACTTATCTTAAAAGTCATATTAACCTCGTTGGTTTGGTATCTGATGGAATCGCTATGAAGATTGTGTTGATTTTGTATTACAAACTAGACTAACGCATATTTGTGTTCGGCTATATGGGCATTATGACTGACTGAAAATAAGTAATCCGATTATCCAGTAGAAAAATTATTTATTTAAAATTCTTGAAACCACTTGCGTTATTCGGGATACGTTTTTATAAACAAAATACTACATTTTGATGAACTTACCTCAAAAAAGTAATGAACCTTAGGTTTTTAAGGTCCTATCACCTTTTACCTTATTAGTAAGTTTCAGCTTTTGAATTTGACCTGGTGCTGCGTGCTGACCTCCCCATGCTAGGTTGTAAGGACAGTAAATATGCACGTAAATGGATGCATGGGCAGCAATCTTTCGGATGTCTTCCCTTCACTTCCTTTCCAAGACTCAATTAGTAACTCTGTTACTGGTCCAGTCTTGAATATAAACGGACAAAACGTTAACAGCATTGATACTATGTCTCGACTCAAATTTCTTGGTTTAAATTTGGGGAATAATAATCAGAATGGAAATAGTAACACCCTTTGTAATGAGGATCGCTCACGCACCAATTTGATTATAAACTACATTCCTCAGAGCTACGACCAAAACGATCTCCAGCGTCTCTTCGAGCGAGTGGGACCTATTAGGCAGTGTAAGCTTATTAGAGACAAGAACACGGGTGCTAGTTTGTGTTACGGGTTCGTAGATTTCGTGAACCCTCAGCACGCAGCTTTAGCAATACAAACCTATCACGGTTACGAGACGGAGCAGAAACAACTGCGTGTGGCGTACGCCAGTTCAGGTGGTCGTCGGTTCATACCAGGACATCGTCTCCAAACGTTTTCCAATGGAACTAATTTCCCAGGCTCATTGAACTCTGAAGTCACAAATGAAAATATAATTGGATGGGAGATCATAGTAACTGGGATACCTGTAGAGTGGACTGAACCGGATTTACTCCGTCTCTTTTCTAATTTCGGGGCCGTTGTGGTTATTAGATTATTAGCTCCTCAATTTCCCGATTCACCACCATGTCAAAAGCCTCGTCTCAGTCCCGCTCTGAATGGGGCTTCAAGTGATATGAGTTCAGAATCAGAAGACAGCAAGTTCACTTCAAGTGCATCTGTCATTTTTCAGGAGAAAAATAATGCTGAGCTTTCTGTTTTGCGCTTAAATGGTTACCAGGCTCCGGAACGGACCTCACCGCTTAGATTGAGATTAATTGGTTCTGTAACGAGAGAAACCTATGGGCTGTTTTACTTTTCTTCGCGTCAGTCGCCACTCCCACTTAATCGTACAACTAACAACAACAGTAACACCGATCCATTGACCGAATCAAATATACTTACAAATGTGCTGAATAGACGGACGCTAAACACGCTAGGTTGCGCTGTGCATGGAAATTCACAAAGTCAGTATATGACAGAAACAAAAAACTCTGAAGTCACTCTAAACGTAGCAGTAGAGTCTAGCGGTTCCCTCCAGTTACCATCAAACCCTCAGTTCGGCATCCCTCTTCGACCAATCATGCGAAACAAAGGTACCTCCAGCAGAACCCTTCCACGGTGTGGGCGACCGGGAAGTGATAATCGCCCTCATACCTCTAACAGCACTCAAGACCACTGTATTCATAGTCAACCTCCCTCTTCAATTCCTATTATTCCTCCTACATCGACTTTATACACTAAACTTCCTCTTTTAGCTTCCTCTTCAAGTGTCACCACAGCCAACGATTCTAGTGCTCAAAACACTGTCCCAGGTCTACTGAAACCTCGCTCCAAACTATACATTGGAGCCTTCAACGTACGCACACTATACCAAATCGGTCAGCAGGCTTCTTTGGCTAAAACCTTAGAATCTCGTACCATTGATGTATGCTGTGTCTCCGAAACACGCATACAGGATCCTAGTGTGGTCATTCACTTGACCTCACCTCGGCAAAGCGGAGAGTCAACGAGATACACCCTCCGTGTATCTGGCGACCCGATGGCTAGTTCTGGTGGACTGGCAGGTGTAAGCATAGCACTAAGAATGAGGGCGGAACAAACGCTATTGGAGTGGATCCCCGTTAACAGTCGTCTATGCGCTGTTCGGCTAAACGGCTCCGTAAGAACTCGGAAGGATAGGGACACACATCGTTGCCTTTTCGTCGTTTCTGCCTACGCTCCCACTGACTGCAGTTCGGATGAAGTGAAAGATGAATTTTACAGAAAGCTGTCTGAACTTCTTCAGAAAGCTAAACGTTCAGACATAGTACTCGTAGCAGGCGACTTTAATGCCTAGGTAAGTAGCTTAAACGAAACAGAAAGACATTTAGGTGGGTATTTTAGTATTCCGGCACAGAGAACAGATAATGGTGATCGTCTGCTGCAACTGTGCTCAGACAATCGTTTATTTTTAGCAAACACAAATTTTAAGCATAAGGAGAGACATCGTCTAACATGGCGACCCCCTGCACCAAACCAACGATGGACTCAAATAGACCATATTGCCATCAGTCATCGTTGGAGAGGGTCAATAGAAGATTGTCGCTCATTCTGGAGTACCTGCTTGAACTCCGACCATGCCCTAGTACGGGCACGCATCTGCTTGCGCCTCACTGGACGCAAAAGAGCCACACAAAAAAGACTCATTGGAACCGAATTGAGCAATAAGAAAGCCAAAAGTAGGTTCCAGGAACAACTGAGGTCACACTTAGGTGGTTCTGAAAACGAGACTGACCCAAATGTTGCTTGGAAAATTATACAAGCAGCTGTGGAAACAGCAGTGACATCTACCAGTGATTTAAACCACAGGGTCACAAAGAACCAATGGATTTCGTCAAGGTCTATTGCACTGATAGATTCTCGCAAACTCATCCCATCAGGTTCTGAATACGATGAAGAGCGTAAAGAAATCAGATCTAGATTAAGCAAAAGTCTAAAGAATGATCGTGAGCAGTGGTGGGCAACGAAAGCAAAAGAGATGGAAAAGGCGGCGATTATAGGGAACACAAGACAACCCTACAGACTAATAAAAGAAACCGTAATTAATAAATCAAGTGTAAGTCAGACCATTTCGGAAAAAAACGACACTCTCATCTGCTCCCAGTTCAGACGCTTGGAACGATGGGCGGAACACTTTAAGGAGCAGTTTAGCTGGCCTTCAGCTACTCTACAACTACCCTCTATTCCCAGACAGCGTGAATGGAACATTGAAGTAGGTCCCCCATCTCTAACTGAAGTTCAAAAGGCTATAGTTAATCTGAAACGAGGAAGAGCAGTTGGTCCAGATAGTTTGGCCCGTTATAGAATGAAATTTAAGTAAAGTTAAGCACAAATCGGTCTTTAATAGCCAGAAATATTACATGACATAACATTACATGAAACTATTCCAAGTAATTATTGTCCCAGTGCGGTAAGACTAAGATATATCTCAAGAAAGAGGGATCGGAGAAACAAATTTATAGTGATCTAGTAGAAATATTAAAACCGGTACTGAGTAAAATAATAACTTTATACTTAACATAATTTCCAACTTTAATCGATACTTTTATCTCAGCTTGTAGCACTTTCAGTCCACAAATTTCGAAAGAATCCCTAGGCCTTGTTAGCCATATAGAGATTGAAATGAATACCATAACTATTTAATAGCAGAAGTAGGCTGTTGCATTATAATTTTGAGCTGAACTATACGTCATCAATCAGTGCATATTATGTAGATGGATTGTCACAGATTATAGATAACCGAAACTCGTTGGGGGAAGAGATTGTTATATCATTATCACTTGGTATAGAGGCCTATATAATGCAATTTAATGAATGCTTTGAGTCACAATGCAACCATGTAAGAGATGCGTTTATCCTCATCTAAGTGGAAAATAATACTTTAGGACTGGTCTGCACCAACCGCTAAACTCATGATAGAGAGTAGATTAGTCGAGGGCTCCGAGCAGTCCACTTATCTTAAAAGTCATATTAACCTCGTTGGTTTGGTATCTGATGGAATCGCTATGAAGATTGTGTTGATTTTGTATTACAAACTAGACTAACGCATATTTGTGTTCGGCTATATGGGCATTATGACTGACTGAAAATAAGTAATCCGATTATCCAGTAGAAAAATTATTTATTTAAAATTCTTGAAACCACTTGCGTTATTCGGGATACGTTTTTATAAACAAAATACTACATTTTGATGAACTTACCTCAAAAAAGTAATGAACCTTAGGTTTTTAAGGTCCTATCACCTTTTACCTTATTAGTAATAATTATATTCTAAACGCTCGTAGCTACTGAATTTTATTATTGGAGCATTAAGACATTTTGGTGCAGTTGGAAACGGATAAAAATCAGCATTTTCTTAATCAATTGTGGGTAGACAGACCTTGTGTACATAACTGAGACTTTGATTTGAATTATGGTGAACACATAACTTTGTTATGGAGTACTTGACAGATGTTGTAAACGGTTCTTCACAGATTATGTAACAAGAAAAGGTGAGATTGATCAAAGTTTTGAGAAAAATGTGAAAACGGGACTCAAGTATCAAGGCCATCTACATAGGGAAGTATTGTATAACACTGCATGATACTCATTTCATAGACTGTTTGCGTTTTTCCACAAATGATATTGGGTTAATATGCATAGCGCACTACGAACCTAAATTAACATCCGGACAGTTTTTCAACAATACATTTACATTTCTAATAATATAGATACAGATATATCATTTGTAAGAAAAACCACAAAATAACCAACTAGCTGCTGAAACAGTTATACATAAAATAAAATCCCATCAAAGAGGTACAATTTACTTACCTGACGTTAATCATGTCCGCTGGGTTACCAACGACACCACCACAAAATCCAGAAGCAAAAGCTACTAATGAGCTTTCGCTGAATGGCAAGGGGTCATTTTTAGACTGTTTATAAGTTTCGTAAATTCCGAATCGAGTCATAGAATATGTAAGCTGTCTCAAGATCGAAGCACTTATTCCATTGTAAAGCGCTAAAACACCATCTTGCTTCCATACACGAATCCCCATGCTAACCATCCCGAACTCCTTCTTTTGTTGAGTTTGTAAATGTACTTTGATAAGATCTAACGGATGAGTACATGCAGCTGCCATAGCGCTAGCTACTCCTCCAAAATACCAAGATCCCACTTTTTTCGGACGATTAGTTACGACAGACATTGAAATCTATGAAAATTACTGGACATGTGGTTAAATCATATAAAACTGAACGAAGTAAAATAATGACAAGTATTATAAATGTAATATATGGGATAAAAAAATGAATGGATGGGATTGCATAAGCATGATATTACAGGATAAATGGTATATCTGCCGAATATGACAGATAGTGTCACATTTGCAATCATATTACCCCAAGCATTGAAATGCAATAAAACAGAACTAAGGTACTCCAAAATAAACACTCACGTATGATACTTATTCCCAAAATAATATGAAACAACTAGAGTTCTGCTTCGTACTACATCCGTAGTAAGAGAAATTGCTGTCAATCTATGTAAAAATACCAATGCTAACACCTGATCAAAGTATGGTGTGTTGGGGGAGAATACCAAGAAACACTTGAGTTCTCCTAACCAAGATAATACATATAACCATAGAGAGATCTTAGATTGTAATTATGATAGCAATTAGCATGCATAGGCTGCAACAAAACAAGACATAAGTAATAGGTGAGGGGGACAAAATACACTTTGTACAGTTCGTTGCTAGATGGTGTTATATCAAGTGAAAACAATATTAAACATCATACTATCTAAGTAAACGCTACTATGTGCTATATTTATTTGACAGTACAAGAGATACAACTGTCTTATTCACCATTACTAATACCACAGTGGATAAACAACAACAGAGGCAATAAAAACAAAATACCATCAGGTGGTGAAGAGTTTGGAAATATTGCAGAAGTTATATGTATCTGAAATATATGTAACACTACTTGATTTTTAGCCTTTCATAGTGTGGATTTTCCAGGTAGAGAAAACATCTGAGTGCAAACTTTCTTGTATATATGATATGTGAGTTCAAAAATAACGACTAGAACGTTAAGTAGAGCATCAGAAAAGACTTTTAAAAGCATGTTACTAAACAATAGATAAATATGCTAGTATGAACGTGAACTATATCCGTAGTGTAAAACAGAGATAAGAACGACACAACCTAGTATACAGAAGTTATTACAATGTTCAATTGTCAAGCGATTAAATTCACAAAAACCATGGCGGAGCTCCTGCTTCTTCAAGATTTACTCAATAATATTTAGTCATTCAAGTAAAAGGACAGGAATCAGGTACGACATTAGATGAAAGCACACCCAAATATCTAAAGGTCAGTTGGTCTTATGGCCTTGGGAAGGATTGAGGTTAGTTCCACACAATAGGTGTAGCTTATATGAAATGTACAGGATACAACACTGTATATTTAAATCAAAAATGTCCTTAAAAAAGCTGGTTAGTCCTCATTGGCAGAACTCAGCTATAAATAGGGTTATAGTAGGAAACCAACAACGGTTTTCTACCCTACGAATAGTAAAATGGAAAGTTTTGTTGTTGATAATCCGGCCAGGAAAAGTATACGTTGCCTGACTATATGTTTGTGTTAAACAAAGTAGATTTCACGAAATAGTGTTTCAAAGTTGAAACTAGATAGAACAGTTGCGTACTATCCACACTATTTAGTACAACAAATCATTTGAAACAAACCTGTTTTAAATCGACTCATTGCGAAAATGAACTAAGCATGGCACCGAAAATATAAGCAGTATCAAATATCGATTATAAGTACCTCAATCAAGGCACAAAACTATGGCTATCTGGATAACTTATTACGAATGAAACAGCTATAATCCCAAATGTGTACTAATATCCAGCACTTCATAGTTATATACCAATTAAGAGAAGAACGTATGAGGGGATGAATAAAGGTTGTCACCCAACCATGTCAAGTAATAATTGGCTAAGATAACATGAAGGCTAGTTTAGAATACATGAAGATGATTGAAGTCAAGCCGTTAATTACAAACAGTTAAGAGAATGTAAGATGAAACCAACTTCTCTAGGCTAACTGATACCTTTCCTGGTAAAATGAGTAGTTATCTGACACAAACCTACGTTACGCAACAACATTGGTGACTGAAATTTTTAGACTTGAAGCGATTATATATATGGTGTCGAATAAACACACAAAAATAAAAAGGTGGTTATACTTCTATAAGATTCTAAGAAGAGTACGGTGAGTGTCAGATGACATGGAAAATCTTTGTGGCTGGTATAAAAACAACTAATATATATATATACACGCTCCAAACATGAATCTATATGTAAATTGTTACAACGTAAAATACGGTTTCACGAAGATGTTGACAGTCTGGGTTTAAATCATGTATGAGAGCCATTTGCTTGTATTCGAACAATTATTTCTGGACAAACCGTGGACATAGTTCTTATCTACCTCTTAGCAAACTCAAACCCAATAAACATTTGACAATAAAAAACGAAATTGACTTGTTTAACATAAAACTTAAACTCTAGTCATACATGTTAAAATAATGAGAACCCAGCTCTATGTGCAGCGTATTAGCTAGGTTTTTGTCTCGTTAATCAGGTCTTATATTATTATGATCGACCATTCGTTATAAATTTAACACTGATACTACACTTCGCAGTCGCGTTGCCTTCAATAAATAACTGTAAAATTCAAGATAAAATCTGATATAAAATGAAACTAGTGATCTGTTTGCAAATCAGTGTTTTGTCAGATATCGTGAATTCGTACCAAATTACAGAACACAAGAGTTCAATACCTGGATAGAAATTCACTAATGCAGTTTGCCTTCAGACTGAGCTATTTTGACAGCCCAGCCAGGTCATAGTCAAGTACGCGACAGAAAATCCCTTATTTTTTTGTGAAAACTAAGAGACTAGATAAAACAAACCCGAAACACCTTGAAGCTTAATTTTACGCGAAGGTCACGAGATCAACACAGTAGGTATGATATTTCGAGACTTCTAATATCCAATGTGAATAAAATGAGCCAATATTCAGATTTAAATTTAGGCGGAAATGAAAGAAGGTCTAAGGCCTTTGTTATTCTTTTACAAGTATGCTTCTCTGTATGTCTAGTCTTTCTTTGAATGAGTCGTTGGAAGGTGCGGACGCTACAGCTTCAGGTAACAGGTTCCAAGAATTAATAACTCAGTGTGAAAACCTGCATGTCTCAGATATTTTGTTCGTTCTTGTCTTTTTTGCTCGTCTTCTGTGTCCTCTGAGATGTCCCGGTCTAGTGGGAAGAAGATAAAATTTCTTAGGTCCAAAATTATTTCTTAGTAATCTATACATCAAAATCAGATCACCTCTTAAACTGCGATAGGACGGAGTAAAGAGGTTCAATTCCTCAAGCCGCTCTTTGTATCGTAAACTCCGGAGTTCTGGAACTGCACGGGTAGCTGCCCTCTGTACATCTTCCAGGATATCCGAGTGACCTGTAGAGCTAAATAAATCCTCAAAATAAATAGCTATGTAAGTCTTCGACATTGGATGCTGACCACATTAGTTTAAATGGACTCACCTGGCTGAAGGCGCTCGGTCATGCATCCGCACCAGATCACGGGTGGGAACTCCATGCTCAACATCCCCTGCAATCGCTAGCCAGTTTAGATCAGTCGATCCACGATATATTGTTAGCCTATCAAATATATCTTCGAACCTCCTCACTTCTGACTTTTGATTTCACTGGGTGGGCACGATCCGACTGTATAAGGTGCTACTGGTTGAAGTGTTGTCTAACTACATATACCTGTGGAATCTTCAACATTATTATCCCTAAAATATTTAACTAATAATTGTTCAATCAGCAAACAAAATTAAATTACACTAAATAAAAAAATTGATTGAGGATATAGGAGAATTACTAAGTGTAAAATAAAGATCCTTTCAACACAGGGATATTATTTTGTCATTTATGGATATATATGTACATTTGGTGTTGACTGCATTAGTTTTAATGAACGATCGGTCATGCATCCGCACCAGATCACGAGTGGGTAAGCTGTGCTTCACATCTACAACCGCTGGCCAGCTTAGATTGATCACTTCTCGATATCCTCCCAAATATGTCATCAAACCTCTTCGCTTCTGAATTCTGATTTGATTGGGTTAACATATTCGGGCTATTAAAGGTGCTACTGGTCATTTTGTTGTCAATCTGCGAATACCTGACGCATCTTTTAGTGCATTTGATAATTACATGATCAGTCAAATTAGATATTATCTTTTGAGTGATCTGTACATATATATCCATAAATGACAAAATAATATCCCTGTGTTGAAAGGATCTTTATTTTACACTTAGTAATTCTCCTATATCCTCAATCAATTTTTTTATTTAGTGTAATTTAATTTTGTTTGCTGATTGAACAATTATTAGTTAAATATTTTAGGGATAATAATGTTGAAGATTCCACAGGTATATGTAGTTAGACAACACTTCAACCAGTAGCACCTTATACAGTCGGATCGTGCCCACCCAGTGAAATCAAAAGTCAGAAGTGAGGAGGTTCGAAGATATATTTGATAGGCTAACAATATATCGTGGATCGACTGATCTAAACTGGCTAGCGATTGCAGGGGATGTTGAGCATGGAGTTCCCACCCGTGATCTGGTGCGGATGCATGACCGAGCGCCTTCAGCCAGGTGAGTCCATTTAAACTAATGTGGTCAGCATCCAATGTCGAAGATTACATAGCTATTTATTTTGGAAATTTATTTACGGCTACAATGTACATTAAAAGTTGTAATGAAACTATGAACACCAGTTACCTAGTTATTTTGTTTTGCTTTTGATTGAGCGATTGCATGCATCCATACCAAGCAGTTACACATCGTTCCATACATATTGTTTTGGAAGCCGCACTTAGCACGACATTTTTTACCATTCGTCAAACTGCTTGTTTTATTTTTGTTATTTTTAACTACTCGTCACATTATTACGGATTGGCAAATGCCAAATGACAGAGCTAAAATTTAAAGGCCAATTCCTTTAGAAGCAATTGTCGTAAGATTTTACTTCTATCGATTTACACGAATTTTCATGTTCGGGTGACACTTCAAAGCCACATGTCATAGTTGGAACGCTTGAGTTCTTCATAATGACATGGAC